ATATATATATAAAATGGAATACTATCTATACAGCACTGAAAAATAAGAACTAATAAAATATTACACAACCTGGATGACCCTGGTGGACATTATGCTGAGTGAAATATCTCAGTCACTAAAAGACAAGTACTGCCTAATATTACTGTTATAAGACAGGATTGGCATGGGCATTGTGGGAGAAGCTAAGAGGAATGAACATTGCATTGGGTCAGATGAAGGAAAGAACTGTTTAAAAGGAATATATGGTTATTTATATGAAAACAGTTCAGAATAAGAGGTGTATAGCAAAATCTACTGGGGGAGGGAGAAAGTTAAGCAACAATGAATGATTTTTTCCCTCTCTAATTTTCTTTTTAACTTGTTGTGTTCTATTGAATTGGTTCTGACTAGCACAGGAGGAGATTGCCCCTCCTTCTCCAGCAGAGTATCTGGTGGATTCAAACCATTTTGAACCATGTGCCTTTGAGGAATAATTTTTTTAAAGTCTTGTGGTTTATCCTTTGACTATTTCAAAAATTTGTATTTCGAGCAAGTGTGAAACTTCATTTCACATACTTTGGGCATATTGTCAGGAGGTGTATTGGGAAAAGACATGCTGGGAAAGTGCAAAAGAAAGGCCCTTACTAGGGTGGAATGGCTCAGTGACTATAACAAACAGGCAAATCGTGTATTTTTTTCCCTCGCAAAGACAGAATGTGTTTAGGGCACCATCATCTAGGGGCTCCTGAGAAAGAGGGCACCTTGGGATAGATGAAGGATGACAGGTAGCTCTGCCAGCGGTGGGGAGGAGTTGGGCCTTGGTCTCAGGAAACAGCCCATCTTGCAGTGTTTGGGGACTGTGGATGGAGCTTGCAAATCAAAGATAAGGAGTGGAATGACGATAAGCCCAGGAAACCAAGCTCCACCTGGGACTGGAACTCCCCATCCCCTATCCACATCATGAGTCCACTTCAGACCTGAGTGCTGCGCTTTGGAGGGCCCAGGCTTGTCAACTGATAGTCCTGCTGCTACTCCCATTGGACATGGCCTCGGGTGCCCAGAGCCTTTGCTAGGGGTTGAGTATCATTTCCAGATCCTCATCTCTCCAGCCTGAAACAACAAACTGCTCAGTACTTCTGCCCTCATTCTTTGGAGAACAAAAATGTTCAAGACTCAAATAACCCTCCAGTGAGTGATTGAGCTACTGAATGGCCATTAGGATTGGTTCCCAGTGTCTTGATTTTATGAGCACAGGGTAGGGTTTCACTTTCCCTCATGGTGTGCTTTGGCTGGTGAAACATGAACAGAAGTATATTAGAAGATGTCTTTTAGTGATAGAGTGCAATTTGCCACACTCCCTGTCCTTTGATCCCACAAGGAGTCAACAGGGTTCTAGAGACTGGAGGCTCTGTTAGTCTGGGTCCCTTTGTGAGAACAACGTGGTATACAGCACTCATCAACCAGAAACACAGAAATCTTCTGTGTTTGAAACCACTGAGATGTGGAGCTGTCTGTTGCCACACCATATCTTAGCTTATCTGGACCTGTGCTGGCTGTAGATACCATATCTAAGTCTTGTTTTCTTCCCAAACCAGCCTAGATTATTTATTAACTACTAGGTGGGTGCATTCTGTGAACCGTTATGTACTGTTGATATTCCACCACTAGCAGATGAAATAAACACCATGACAGAGTTACTCACATGTCCACAGGGAGGAGCAGTTAATTCTTCATGCAAATGACTTTGCACTAACTCTGGGTGACTTTTAATCTATTCATAATAATGACAGTTTATGTTTTAAGTGTCTTACAGACTCTCCTTGTCTGAACTCATTTGATCTTCACAATAATCCTAAAAGTTACGTCCCACTGTTAATCTTATGCTGTAGATGAGAACACAGAGACACAAAAAAGTCACTTGCTCAAGATCATAAAGCTAGGGTTCAAACCCCAGAGTTCTTCTCTCTTTAGCTTCCTGGGCAGGAGAGTCAGGCTAGGCAAAGGTTGTACTTGGCTCATTCAGAGTGTGGTAAATTGTCTGGTGTAACTGTTCATAGGACAAATTAAAGGTGGTTAGCTGAGTTGTGACTGGCAATGTTGGCCAGTCTGTGAAGGGTATTGGATGACAGATAAAAGAAGATGAACTTTTTCTTGCAGGTAGTGATGTGTCTAGAGAGCTCTGGTGGCTTATTGGTAAGGAGCTATGCTGCCAACCCAAGGTACATGGTTCAAAACCACCAGCTACTCCACAGGAGAAAGATAGGCAATCTCTTGTGCAATTTACTGCCTATAAAAACTTTCTGAAGGGTCAGCT